CTACCAGCCCCGCCTGTCCCAGGGGCGGGCGGGCGGGGCAGCCACTCCAGCCCCAGCCTCGCCTGGGTGCACTGACAGAGGTGTGGACTCCTGGGTCCCTGGCTGAGAAGCCAGGGGAGAGAGGGCTGACGGACTCAGCGTCTGACGGCGGCGGTGACCGAGGGGGTGGGGACTGAGCTGCCTGCCTCTGCCGCCCACCACCATCTCAGGAAAGGCTGCTGGTGCTGGCTGCCCGTTCCAGCTGCAGGGGTGACACTGGGGAGTCTGCCTCCCAGTGCTCCTTCTCTCTGGGCCTGGCCTCATCAGGCCCCTGGTGCTTCCCCCCCCTCCTCCTGGGGAGGGGGCCTGTGAAGAGCAAATGAGCCAAACGTGACCACTAGCCTCCTGGAGCCAGAGAATGGGGTGCGTCTGAGGGCTGCCCCGGCCCAGCACCCAGCCATCTTCCCTGAGCCAGCCGGCGGGTGGTGGGCATGCCTGCCTCACCTTCACCTGGGGGTGGCCAGGAGGGGCCCAGACTGTGAATCCTGTGCTCTGCCCGTGACCACCCCCCGCCCCCATCAATCCCATTGCATAGGTTTAGAGAGAGCACGTGTGACCACTGGCATTCATTTGGGGGGTGGGATATTTTGGTGGAAACCGCCCCAGCCTTAGTCCCCAGGGCGAAGCGCTGGGGGGAAGATGGGGAGTCAGGGAGGGGGGGAATCTCAGAAGAGGGAGGAGTCTGGGAGTGGGGAGGGATGGCCCAGCCTGTAAAATACTGTATATGCGCTACTGTAGATACTGGAATGACTTTTCTGTACATGTTTGGTTAATTTTTTTTGTACATGATTTTTGTATGTTTCCTTTTCAATAAAATCAAATTGGAACAGTGGATACTCTTTCTGCGCTCCTTCCCGCTGTATGGCCTGGTCAGTGCCTCCGTGACCCATCGGGGTCCGCCCAGCCTTGTGCATCCTTACTCAGCTCCCACTCTGGCAAAACCCCGTGAAGGTGGGGGTTTTGGTGCTTCATTCTCATTTGACCTCCCCCCACCCCAACTGGGTAGAGTATGTCATGGGGGCTCGGTATTATGAATGAATGAATGAATGAATGAATGGCCTGTAACTTTTATGCATAAGCATCACCGTTAGGAGTCCTGGGGAATGTGTCAGGAATGAGACAGAGTTTGTCCCCACCCTCATGGGGGCACACAGTGACACCTGGGAGAGCACCTGGAGTTAAGATCAGAGCAAAGCATCCCCCACAGAGCTGTCCCAAGGCCCAGCACATTGCCTGGCATAAAGAGCCGGTGTTGAATTAATATAAGAGAGACCCTACCCTTACCTTCCTGGGAACAGGGCACCGGGCCAAATGCTTTACCTGTGTCCCTTCCCAATCCCCTGGGCCGTGGACTGGTACTGGTCCCTGGTCTGTTAGGAACTGGGACACACAGCAGGAAGCGAGCGGCAGGCAAGGGTGTGAGTGAAGCTTCAACCGTATTCGCAGCCGCTCCCCACGGCTAGCATCACCGCCTCAGCTCCGCCTCAGCTCGTCAGGAGTTAGATGCCAAAAAGGGTTGGGGACCGCTGCCATACATGCCTGGGAGACTCAGGTTCAGATCCAAGGTAGAAACTGCCGCTGCTCAGGTCCCAAAATTCTCTCCTCTCCCCGCGTCATTCTGTGCTACGGCTGTCTACGCCCAGGACAAATTCCACGAGACAATGTCGGAACCGTTGCTTTAGTCATACATATTTCAAAGAAATTAAGAGGGGGAAAAATCGTCTTGAAAACATTCTCCCCATTTATTTGCCATTTCTAGGGCTCTTCAGTGCATCCTGAAGTTTCTAGGTTCTCCCGGGGCAGTTTCCCATGAGCCTGAAGGGTATGCATTAGCATTTCTTACAAATTCTTTTAGTTTTCTTTCATCTGAAAATACCTATTTTCACTGGTTATAGAATTCTGGGATTGACTGTTTTCGTTCAGCATTTTAAAGATGTCGTTTCACTGTTTCCTGGCCTCCACTGTCTCTGATGGAAATCCAGAATCATTTCAATCACAGTTCCTCTGTGTTTTTGTCAGGCCGGTTTCAAGATTTTTTTTCTTTGTTTTTGATTTTCATACTGACTATGATAGGTCCAAGCACAGTTTTCTTCCTATTTATCCTGTTTGGGATTTGCTGAGCTTTACAAGTCTGTAAATGTCCATCTTTCACCAAATTTCAGAAGTTTTGGGCCATGATTGATTCAAATATTTTTTCTTCCCAACTCTCTCTCCTCTCTTTCTGGGACTCCAATTACACGTATATCAGACCTCTTGATAGTTTCCCACAAGTCCCAGAAACTTTTGTTATTTAAAAAATGTTTCCTCTTTTTTTAGACTGGGTAATTTTCATCAGTCTATTTCCATTTCCCGCACCCACTTCTCTGTCACCTCCATGCTACTGATTAGGTCTACCGGCGACTTTTAAAAATTGCAGATACTAAAAAAATTAATAAAAATAAATTTTAAAAAATTACATACCATATTTTTCAGTCTTAGAATCCATTTGGTTCCTTAACATTTTTACTTCTCTGCCGAGACTTCCTATTTTTCAACATTACACACATTTTCCTTTATCTCAGTTAAGTCCTATCGTAATGAAGTCCTTGTCTGTTAATTCTGGACCCGGGGTCCAAATCTTGTCCTTTCCGTTCAGAATGGGTCCCAGGCCCCTGATTCCATGATTTGGGATTTTACCCTGGATATCAGGAAGGTTATGCTGTAGGCGCTCTGCAATGTCATGGCCTCCAGGGGATGTGACTGTTTTTTAGGGGATATTTACGTTGGCTGGAATCTGCTGCAGCGGGTGACAGGTCGCACCCCGTTCATGCCGGTCTTGCTGTCTGCTCTGCACCTTCACAGCCCAGTGGTCAGCAGGAGTCTTGGGCTGCATTTACACACATCTTGGCATTTCCCTTCCCTGGCACGCACCTTTCCCGCAGCTCTGGCTGTGTCCTCTAGTGCTTCGGGCCAGTCACACGGCTGGTGGCTTACCTTTTAGGCCGCCTGGTGCAGTGCCTCAGGCTGCCGTGGTGCGAGGCAAACCACACAAACACCAGAAAACTCACCTTGCAACTTCCAACTCCCCTCCGAAGTCCACCCGTGTTGTTCACTCTCCAGGCCTTCCAGTGGTTGTTTTTTGGTAGGTTTTTGTTTGTTTGTTTTGTATATTGTCTAGAATTTATAGTAATTTGCAGGAGAGTTTGTCTGTTAGAAACTTACTGCGCCATACAAGAAACAGAACTTCTTTTGAAGTGAAATTCTAGGCTCTCATCTCTTAGGACCCAAAGTGGGAACCACACCCCGCCATCCAGGTTAGATGTTAAGAGGCAGAGATGCGTGACAGTCAAGGACAGAGGCCACATTGTTAGCCAAGTCTAGAAGGCTCCCAGAAGAACAGAAGAGGGATCAGTTGTTCTGGAGGGAAAGGGAACACCCAACGTCACCGCTAGGTGGCCTTCTGCCTTGGAACCAAGCAGTCCCACAACCTGGCAGGGCCGAGGACAGAGGAACCTGGCAACGGGGCCCTGAGCTGAACCACCGCCCCGTGCACACTGTGCGACTGCTAGCAAGCGAAGTCTGAACTTGACCCGGCACCCCCTGCTCCTGAATACTCCCACCCTGCAATGGCTGCTTCTGGAAAGGGGAGAGTTACATTTCACTGTTCTTTAAATTTCCCCTTCCTTAAAAAACTTTGTAAACGTTTCAATTCCGTGCTACACACACATACTATCTATCCGATTGACAAAGGAAGTGTCCACTGCTGCCAGCCTGCGGCCTTTGGGAAAGAATCGCCACCTCGAATGCGTTTATATACTCTGTTACCCAAGTGGTTGGCTTTGGGAGTCTTTCTCAAGTGTGTACAAAGGAAACCGGCTCAGTGTCACTTGGCAGCAGACTGATTAAGTGGCTTATGGTTCATCTATGGTTTTGGAATTTGACGCCCAATGCACAATCTCAAAGACAAAGTGAGAAAAAGCGAGTTGTAGAAAACGTTAACGGATACGCAGAGTAACAGCTAACGCTAAACAATCTCTACTCGAAGAACTTATTAATTCACTTTTCACGTATCAGAGGAATGTACTATTACCTCATTTTACAGATGGGGCTACTGTGCCACAGAAAGGTCACTTGCCCAAGGTCACACAGCTAAGTGGTAGAGTCTGGGTTTGAACTTGACAGCCTAGAATAGGATTCACTCTCCATGAGTGAAGGGGGTGACCTCTGTGCAGGTAGATGGGAAAGTGGATACACGTAACGTACAGAAAACACATCCGTTTCTTTCCAAAATCCTGAGTTCAGCTGGGAGGCCAGCCGCTCCCCCTCCGTGGCCAGCACCGAGCTGACAGGCTGCGTGACTCGGTGGGGAGGAATCTTTCTGCTCTCGCGCCGGGTGTACTGCTTGAAGGTTTCACCGTGAGCTTCAAAACAAAACCCATCTGCCTTCCTGGGCCGAGCCGAAGCCCCTCTGTCAGCACCTGGCCTGGCCGGCGGTCTTCAGTGGTGACCGTCAGGTCTAAGGGCCCTGAGGATGTAGAGCCCGCGTATCCACATCCTATGGACAGCAGCAGCAGCGGGGACGCGCAGCCATGTTCACTGTGCCTGTCAGCCACCTGCCACGCCTCACCTCTTGGGTGGGGCTGTCTCCTCCTCTGCAACAGGGTCACTGCAGGGGCACTACGCCCAGGGGAATGCTGAGGAGACCAAACAGTGCAGCTGCGGTGTAAGTGTTCGGAAAAGCACCAGGCAGGCAGCGTGAACGCGTAAGCTATTATTGTCACTAAACTCTTCTGACCTGACAACTACAACCTGAGCTTCTGTTTCCCCACCTGTGAAGGGGCAGATAGGACACACCTCAAGAAACAATTACATCCACCAAAGAAACAGAAGTGGCTGACAAAAAGGGCCGGCACTGCCGGGGTTAACCACGGACGTGGGGCCGCGACAGAACTGAGAGCTTCTGATCGGGTTGGAAGGTTTTGCCTTCGCCTGAACTACCCGTTTTCCTCTTTCGAGTAGCACCTGTCCCACTAGAACGTTCTGAGGCTTCGACACATTAAGCGCTTAACAGAGTTTGGCCACTGCACAAACCAAAGACACAGAAGTGGGGTGTGAAGTGGAGAAACCTGGCCGCCCCGAAAGTGTCTGCCACCTGCACAGACTAGAACCTCCTTCTCACGTGGGCTAAGTGCCCCCCAGAGGTTCCAGAAACCACAGGATAATCAGTGCCCTTCCCGGAGACTTAGAGGAATTCACTTTTATGACGCTGACATGTAATGTGGGAGAAGACGAAATCTGAAGAAATGAGAATAAAGACACATGCTGCCTGGGGCTGGCAGTTTCCAGCACCACCTCCCCGATTCCGGAGGGTTCTCTCTGGATGACTCAATCTCTGCCAGAAGAGTCTGAAAAGCTTCAGAGAAGATTCTGCAATGACAATCTCGTTTTCATCCATCCAGACCCGCCTGCTCCCCCTTGTGACCAAGGTCCCACATTGCAAAGTCAACGGTGTAATTAGCTCAAAATTTCGACGACAGCGTGAGATTCACGCGTCAATAAAATTGCTGACATTGGTGCCCCTAACTTGACACTAAGGGGGCCCAGAAAGGGGCCCCTCCAGAAACACTGCGCTGGCCTCACCCAGGGCGGGAGCAGGTGACCTGGGGGGAGAGTCGGGAACCGAGTTCTTTTTCACCAAGTGCTCCAGGATTTAAATAGAAAGGAGCTGATTTATTCACTGGAACCCGCCAGGCCCAAACCTCACATGATCTTACACCAGGGAGGAGCTGCCGGTGAGACCTGGACACACCCAGACCACCGAGTGGAGCCGAATGTGGCGTTCCAGCAACGGCTCTGACCCGTGCAGGTGAGGGACCGGGGCACGTACACCTAAACTTAACTTTACGAGAGGCCACGGCTCGCTTGCACTCTGCACAGGGCCCGGCACACAGATCTAGGTAGAAGGCAGCATCGGAATCGTGTTTTATTCCTTTTCTATTTTTATTTCATTTTTCTCATCAGTGAGAACGGCCACTGTTTAACTGTGTTATTCGACAGACAAGTGGAACCAGAAGCTTGCACTCTAGAGCGGGAGCGATCTGCCTGACACCCAGCAGCACGGTGGCAGGGACGGTGTCGGAGGGGAGGGATCTTGGCGTCACACGACATCCAGACAATCGTCAGAACTGCTGGGATCACTCTGTCAGCGAAAGTGTCAAATGTGGACGAAGAGCAAACAAATCTAAAGCAAATAACTTTATTTTTATCATTTCTTTTTAAAAGAACCATGGAAATCTAGAAAATATATAAAAACACAAACAGCTGCCATTCAGGGGTAAATGAAGGCCCAACGCGGCCCTCAAACGTAACAGCCTCCAGAGCAGCCTACGCCTCATCGGAGATGGGGGGCTCTGTTCAAAAGACGCGCCCCCATCCCAGCTGGGCCCCGACAGGTCAGAAGCCCCGGGGGGGCTGCCTTTCCAAACACATTTCCCAACTAAATCCGACTCGCAAGGCCTCGCCCCTGTGCCCGGGAGGACGCGGTCCCATCTCCCCCCTTCCACGGTCCAGGCTGGAGCCGCTAATCCCCCAGCAGCACTCACGAACGGCACAGCAGATGCCACCTGTTGTTTTGCAGGATCTCAGACTCTGGAGGAGACGCATTCCGCCTGCCATGTCTTCTCCCGGGGCACCTGTCTGCACGAGGAGCTGCGGCCCCGCTGGTGCTCCACCGGGCCCGGGCCTTATTCCCACAGGAGGCCGAGCTCCTCTCTGTGTGACATCAGGTGGGGAATAAGTCCAGCAGAGTGGCAAGAGGCTCCTAGGCAACCAGGCCTGTCAGTTCCTGGCAGGCACCTCCAGCGGCACCCCCGGGGCCTGGAGACGCCGTGACAGCACCCCGAAAGAGAGGCGTCGGCGGGGTGCATTCAGGTGATCGCGACTCAGGGGAGCTGGCAGACGGCCAGGCCCCACGCCCCGTGATGTTCGGTAGCGGCCGGCCCTCGAGAGGAGTGCATCCGCCCAGCCCCGCCGCCTGCAGGGGTCGGCTGTGTGCTGGTCCGGAGCATTGTCCTCCCTTGCCTGGAGACGCCTCGTAGTGGGAGGGGGCTGGGGCCGCGCTGGGGGTCGGCGTCTCCGGGGCTCCACGTCTTGGGTTCACTTGGGGCCGAGGCACTCCACGATCCCGTGCCCCTTCATGCCATCAAAGAAGAAGAAGTTGTTGTGGGGAGGGTCCCTCTGAGACAGCGCCTGCGGAGGAGAACAGGGCCTCAGCGCCAGTGCGGAATGCAGGAAAAAAAGAACAGGAAAAGCCTAACCCAGATCTTCTGCAAGCAACGTGGGCAGACGGTCCTCCACAGGCCGCGTTCACTCCTCAGGGGCCACGTGGCTGTGTGTGGAGCCGTTTCTGTCATGTCTCTCTGCTCTGGCCCTTGGCACTTGTGTGCCCTTGGACGGATCCTCTGGCCTCTCTGAACCTTACTTTCCCCACATAAAACGAAAATAACATCTATCATCATAGGCATTAAAAGAGATGATGCACCTCGAATACTCTTAACAGTGCCTAGCGTGAAGCAGCAGCGCCTGGCAAACGGCAGTAGTAATTATTTATGACTCTTCAACTGAGAAAGGCAGTGATTCATTCCAACACGTCCTAGGCTGCAGCCTTCGCCACCTGAGGGGACACACACTGCCGCAGAAGCGGCTTCCATGAGGAGGCTGTGCCGCCTGCCTTTCACAGGAGGGGCCAGGGCTGGCATGCAGAGGGCCTGGGAGACGCAGTTCAGCCGTCGAAATGGACAGGGTCTGGTGGGGTTGACAGGGGCACAGCACTTTTAAAGACAGGGTTAGACACCCCGAAATTGCATGCTGAGTCACATGTGTATACGTGTGTACTGGGTTCATAGGTACCAGTGACTTTTCTAAGAGGTTCTGAAGGCAAACGGGATCACCACTTAAGGGGACCTAAGCAAGCTGCTAGGCAGTGTTTGGCGGTTCCCGGGAGCACCAGGCTGTCACCGATGAGGCGGGCCCGCCCCTACAAGGTTAGAGTGTGCGCTAAGTAGCCTGAGCTTCTGGAACTGAGTGCCAATCCCAATCCATCGCCTCATCTGTAAAATGGGGACATCGGACCTACTTCAAGTGGTTGTTTAGCTATCTGTGCAAGGACACGTGCTGAGCATCCTGAGGTCCCCTTGCCCAGGGCTTGGGTCTGACACAGCTTTGCTCCTCTGGCTTGCATGGGAAATAGCAAATGAACAGCACCCGCCGGCTGGAGTTTCTGGCGAGAACGAAATGCGATTGCGCCTGCAACGTGCCTGGCACAGAGCACATTCTCGAGTGAGAGCTGCTGTTTCCTGCTGGTGCCGGGGGCCCCGCACCAGCCCCCGAGGAGCCCCAGCACCTGGCCGGGGGGGCCACGTGACGACAGCTGAGACCCCTGGACCCCAAGTAACAAGAGCTGACACTGTGACTTAATATGGAGCCTGGTACGGCTGCTGCCACGATCGCTCCTGCTCTGTGCGCGGGGAAACCTACTGAGCACGGGAGGGAGAGGAGGGAGGATGGTTTCAACCTAAGGAAACACGATGTGACGGGGATGTGGGCAGAACACGTGGGATGATCCGGGGAAGGAAGGAAACAAGATGACTCTAAGGGAAGAGACGCTACTGCACGCCCGCTGCTCCCAGCGGGTCCGTTTTATGAGTGGTCAGACGGTGTCTCAGGAGAGGAGAGGGGTCTTGGCCCTCTCACTGCAGGACGCTACTGCCAGCTGACTGAGGGCTGGAACGTGTCAGTGAGGGGGCGCGGTGCGGACAACACAGAGGGCACGGGGTGACCGCGGGGCCAGAGGTCGAGAGCTGCCCCAGCCAGATGGGGGAAGCAGATTCCAGACACACCCGGCAGCCGGGAATGCGGAGCTCTGGCGCACTGGGGTAAACAGACACGGGCTGCGGGAACAGCTGTCCCCAGCAGGCAGCGAGGGGGCTGCATCCGAGGTCAGGAATGGGATGCAGAGAAGCTGCTGCAGTCATTGAGGTCAAGGCCACCTGCCCTGACCCCCACCTCCATCCCCTGTGAAAAACCCAGGAGCAGCTTCTCAATGGGATTTACGGACGTGAATGTGTGGGCATGAGGACAGTGGCCTCGGGTCCATGCAGAGCCGCTGGACAGGGGCGCTGCTTAGGGACGGCGCCTGAGGCACGAGAACCACGTGGCTCAAAAACCAGGCTGCTGAGGCTCGAGTCCTGGCTCCCCACTTCCGTGCGCCTCCGTGCTTCCTTCACACATCAGGGAGCACAACGGCCCCCGCCCCGCGGGGCTGCTGTGAGGACGAACGCGTCCCTCCGCGGGAAGAACGCGGCGTGGGTGGCACGCAGTGGCCTTGCAAGAAATGTCGTCTACCACTGCTGCCGTGGCTATCAAGGGCTACGAATCCATGCCGTCCACCTCGCCCCTGACGCTTCCGTCCCTGCGCCCTCTCCTGCCGGGTCCTGGACAGTCCCGGACCCCCTCACACAGCTCTCTGGGAGGCCACCGCCCTCTCTCACCCTCGGCACATGAACCGCAATTTCCACATCTCTCCGGGCTAAGCGGACGGCGCCGGCCGAGAAGACAGGCCTGGCCGTTGCGTGCTCCTCTCTGTCCCTGTCCACAGCACCTCGGTGCTCGTCCTGCTGCCCGTGACACAGAAGGTCAGAGTTGGGAAAAGAAGACATTGGGCCAGAGGAAAGGATCAGAAAAGGAGAGAGAAACAAGCCTTGCGACGGCAGGATGTCCAGAGTGAGCGGGATGTGTCCAGAGCAGGCCCGCAGGCCCCAGGACAGAGCAGTGAGAGGTGGGTCTCCACAGCCTCCTAAGCTCGAACTTGACATGTAAATGGACTTGGAAGATCATTTAACCAGGCACGACTCTGCCCGTACAAGAAAAAGACAAACCATCACTGCAAGTCCACTAAAGTAGTCAAGCAAAAGGCAAATTTAACATCTTTGGGAAAATACCAAAGTCCCCAAAGAGAGTAAGATACATGTGGGGTGTGCTGTGCTTTCGGCAGTCTAGATGTTCTTCTGGAACAAATTCAAACGGGCGTGCTAGTGACTGTTTACGCCTCAAGCGAGACGCCTCCCTTTGAGAGGGCCCATGATACCTGTCTTGCATGGTCACCGGTGGCCTGTTCGGAGCCCTGTGGGGCCCTACTGGAAGTGCGCCCCTTCCTCCCGTGAGTACCCACAGCGTGCGCAGTGATGAGGGGGAGCTGTGGAGCCACAGTGTGGACAGAGGAACCCCACAGAGGTTCCGGGCACGGGTTCTGGAGTCCCTTCTCAGGGCCTCAGTGGTGTCCCGCCCACAGATGGGATCACGACAGTACCCTTTTCACAGAGTCACGGGAATACCTGGCACCCATAAGCACCAGATAACCAATCGGCACAGTTAGGGGAGAGGGGACAGCATCCTGAGGGCGCTATGTCCAGCTCAGGTGCGGAAAGCTCACCTGGATGGGCTGCAGAGGGGAAGGAAGAGGGTGGTGCATGAAAGGGGGCCGCGTGGGGCGGGGAAGGCAGGCGGGAACGGCAGTCCTAGGCTCGCCCTCCGCACATCTGCCAGGAGTGCAGTGCCAACCGCTTGCTGCTCCGCAGTGACTGTTACCTTGACGATTTCCTGGGCCAGGATTCCGCCGACCACCGCACACACCGGGGCCATCTCGGAGAAGCAGTACCTGGGAGAGAAGACAAGTGGAGTGAAGCGCTGCGGAACGGGAGGGCTGCCAGGCGTGGGCCGCTGAACGGACGTCTACCAGGAGGCGTCGATTCAGCAGCGACGGGAATGCCGGCATCACGGCGTGAAGATGACACCTGACCCGGGGGTCGGCAGAAGGCTGGGGAGACCTCTGACCCTGGGCAGGCAGGAACCGCTTCATGACCTTTTTTATTTAGGTTAAAGGAAAGACTAAATTTGTGCTTCCTAAAAATAAGGTCCTGCGAACATCAGATGTGTCGGTGCCCCGGTCACATTCTCGCAATTCTCTCCTTACCCGTAATGAGCAGTGGGTTCCGTGTTATTCCCAGACAAATGTGGGGGGAAGGCCTGTGTTAACACGCAGGAGGCATGGGTAATTTGGAACCCGAAATTAAAGTATGGGGACAGAAAAAGTCCTCACTACCCACACAGATACCAGCCCCTTTGGGCCAGAATCGGGCATCCACAGGACACATGTTAGCTGACACTGTCACCTGCCCCTTCGAAGCACTTGTCTGGGGTGGAGGGGAGGGGTGAACCGATCTTCCACCCCCTCCTCAGAGGAAATGGGCTCTGCCAGTTCCCACCATGGATGCAAAGGTGTTTCTTCGACGAGCACACCGGGACACAGACAGGCTGAAGGGAAGCGTCCCTGTGACGGAGCCCTGCCACCGCGAGGCCATCTCCAGTCCCCCCAGTGTGTGCGCATCCTTCTAGGAATTTTTAAAAGTGCACGTATCTAAATGTGTATAATTTTAAACCCAAGAAATATCAACTACTATTCATTCCGCACTGTAATCTTATGAATATTTAGGCTGTTAAATACTGCGATCATACATCTTGGCATAGCTGTCCAAATGATTCCTTATGGCAAATCCCTAAATATAGAATTGCTGGGTCCTGGCATATTTTGCCAAAATGCCCTCCAGAAGGGCTGTGTCCATCACGGTCCCAGCAGTGGTGCACAGATGCGCCCTCTCCCCGCACTCCGGCCAGGACCAGCATGCCCATCTGCTCAGCCACAGAGGCAACTGTTCCCCCTGTTTATCAAGGTCCATTACAGAACTCTAAAACACATGGAGAACCATACTGAAGAAACACTGATCATCCATAATGCCGCTACTCAATGATAATCAAATGCAGGAATATTAATTTTTTCCCTAAAAAACAAACAAACAAACAAACAAACAAAAAAACCACACCTATTTTCTTGCAATCATCCTATACAATTTAATATTCTGCCTTTTTTCTCTTAAAAAAAAGTATATTAAGTATATCTCGACTAAATGGTAGCAAACCAAACCAGCAACACAGAGAAAGGACTACACACCACCATGAAGTGGGATTCGTGCCGGGAATGCAAGGTTGGTTTAACATCTGAAAAATCAATGTAGTATGTGCCACATTAACTGAATTAAGAGCAATAATCACATGATTATCTCAGTGGACACAAAAAGCATGTGACAAAATTCAACACCTTTTAATGATAAAAACATTCAACAAACTAAAAACAGAGGGAAACTTCTTCAACCTGATAAAGGGCATCTCTAATAAAGTCACAGCTAACACCATCCTTAATAATTAAAGACTGACGGCTTTGCCCCCAAGTCAGAACGAGACACGGACGTGTGCTCCCACCGCTCTGTTCAACACTGAGCTCCTGGAGGGTCTAGCCAGGGCGATTAAGGAAGGAAAAAGAAACGAGATGTCCAGATTGACAAGGGAGAAGTAACACATATTCAAAGATGACATGGCCTGGAATACAGAAAATACTAAGATGTCCACAGAAACATTATTCGAATGATTAAATTAATACAGCAAGGTTGCAGGATACAAGAGTAATATACAAAATCAACTGTACTTCTATACCTTAGTAATGAGCATTCCAAAGTGAAATTAAGAATTCTACTTACAATAGCATCCAAAAGAATAAAATATTTAGAAGTAAATTTAACAATAGGTGTGTGTAAAACTTATACTCTGAGGACTCCAATACATTGTAGAAAGGAACGGAAGGCCTCAATAAATGGAAAGCTACCTCCTGTTCATGGATCAGAAGACTTAATATTGCCAAGAGAGCGATACCCCCCACATTAACCTAGGTATTAGGCAAAATCGCTATCAAAATTCCAACTGCCTTTTTTGTAGAAAAGGAAAAATTCATCCTAACTTTCCTATGAGAATATGAGAGATCCAGAATGGCCAAAACTATCTTGAAAAAGAACAAAGTTGGAGACCTCACATGTCCCTATTTTAAAACTACTATAAAGCTACAGCAGCCGAGACTGTGCGGTATAGGCTTAAGGACACACACACACATCAGTGAAAAGGAACCGTGACTTCAGAAATGAAGAAATACACACACGGTCAATTATTTTTTGACAAGGGTGCCAAGACCATCTATGGGAACAAAGTCTTTTTAACAATTGGGTCTCCATATGCATAAGAATAAAGCTGGACCTCTACCTCAGACCATGTACCAAAGTTCACTCGAAAATGAGTAACAGACCTAAATAAATGCTAAAACTGTGAAACTCTTAGAAGAAAACACAGGAATAAATCTTTATGACTTCGGATTAGGCAATGGTTTCTTAAATGTGATATCAAAAGTATATGTGAAAAAAGAAAATTAATCAATTGTATTTCATAAAAATTAAAAACTGTACTTTAAAGGATACCATACAGAATGGGAGAAAATTTTGCTAATCATATACTAATAAAGAACTTGTATCCAGAATATATAGAGACTCGTCAAAGAGCCTCTGCCAGCAACAAGGTCACAACTCGCTTTACTGCGATACTATGTTATTAGGGCAGTCTGGAGCCCTGACCCCTCACTGTCCCCAAGGTCTGCCTGTGTACCACATTACTGGAAAGGCAGAACTATAAGGACGGGGCACGGGTCAGGGGCTGCTGGTGGGGGACTGACTAGAAGGCACAAGGGTATTTTGCGGGAGGGGGGCGGTGATGAAACTTTAATGTATCTTAATTGTGGTGGTGGTTACACAACCCTATGCCTTTGTAAAAATTCATAAACTGTAAATAAAAACAAAACACGGACAACTCACAGAACTGTATAATAAAAATAAATTTTACTATGTATATTTTTAAAAAATACACAATGAGGAAACAAGAATAAATTTTACCGTAAGTCTAAATAATAAAAATGAAACAGGATGAAAAAAAAGGTCACCATAAGAAACAATCTAACAAACACAGAATATGAGCTATTTTATAATATAAGTGGCCTGGACACTTAAAAAAAGTGGTCAACTATTCTAGATTGAGTTGGAAAACGTTCTCTATAAAGAACCAGACGGCACATTTTTTTGGCTTTATAGGCCACATGGTCTGTTTAAACTCTAAGTCTCCCACTGTAGAGTTGTAAAAATTCTACAAAAGCTGCCACAGATAATACATAGATGAAATGTGGAACGAAACTTTATTTATAAAAATAGGTGACAAGCCATAATCTACCAAGTCCTAGATTTTAAGAGACACAGAACCAAATACAACAAATGAACTCTGTTGCATTTTTAAAGCATCATGCCAGCATCATGCCTCCCTCCCCGAAACTAAAAGCAAAACATTAGCAACTGAATCTAGCTGAGTGGTATCCAGGTTTTCACGACTATATTATTCTTTCCATTTTTCTTTATGTTTATCATTTGTAATCTACACAGGACACTGCACCATTTTATATCATTAACTCCTTAATGCCTTTCCAATTTCTTTTAATATGATAATGAATATGTTCTGCACACAAATGTTTGCTCACACTATTTCTTTAGGGTATATTCTTATTAGCAAGGAGCAGAATCACTATTCCAAAGAGGGAGTATTTTAAGACTGCTGACACATATTTCCAAAGTGCTCACTAAAAGGGTTGCACCTTTTCCCATCACCTTCGCTAACAATAAATATTATGAGCATTTTTAAAAATCTACAAAGGATTGTATTTTTACATATGCTATGACAGAAAGGGTGTAAGATATAACACCGAACAGTCAGTGGTTTTCTCTGGGTAATGGAATGATGACTGATTTTCATTTTCACCTTTGAATTTATTCTGTATTATCTGATTTTTCCAAAGTATGTATACTATTTCTATAATGTAAAAACCAGTAAGTTCACAAAAGGACAAATATTGTATGATTCCACTCACACAAGCCACTCAGAATCATCAAATGCACAGACACAAAGCAGATTAGAAGTCAGCAGGGCCTGGGGAAGGCAGGGGGGAAGGTGGCATTTAACGGGCACGGATTTTCAGTTCAGGATGATGAAGTTCCGGAAGTGGAGAGGGGTGACGGTCGCACGACACTGGACGTGCTCAGTGCCACGGGACCGCCGCACATTTATGACCGTTGAAACGGAACACTGCATGTGGTGTGCATTTTGACATAATAAAAAAAATTTAAAAAGTTACACTACACACACAAATTATGAATGTCCATTATAAAAGCATATACTAGTGAAAACCATAAACAACTTAGATGGCCACTAATAAGGCAATGGTTAAATAAATAACCATACATCAGATGATGAACTTTATGGAACACAAGTGAGGACTCAGATCTCTATTTCTGACACACGTGAGTCTATGACGGTTGTCATGTAAAAAGTATGATCTCATTTTGTTATTAAAAGAGAAAAATATGAGTAAATGCACACAGAGAAGTCTGTGAGGCTAAATTCAGGCGTCGGCCACGGCCACTCCTTCCGCCTGTTCTGGCAACGGGCATGTTACTTTCACAACCAGAAAACAGAGCTCTGAAAAGAGAACAGGGAAGGCAGCGTCAAGGACGGTGCGAGCAGATCACAGACAGATGAGGGGGACGGCCACTTGTGCACAGCTCAAGCGAGCGCTCCCTGCTCTGGGCTGGCAGCGGGCAATCTGCAAGGACGGCTCAGCTGCTGGAAGGCCCTATCCCATCTCAGGCCTCATTGCTACCTATCCCCTGGCAGACTTCAAGAGGCCACCAAACCCCTCTTACTTAAAGGACAATAGAGCGGGGACACCTGAGCACACGAGGACCGGGACGAGGGAGAGCCGCTTCTGCAAAGCGACGGGCAGGGGGGCAAAACGCTGTGGGTGGACCACCAGCCGAGCGCTGGGCGGGCCGTCAGTTAGGCAGCGTCTTCTCTTTCCGGAAGCGGGGCCTCTGCCACTGGCTGGCGGTACAGAGCCAAGCCACTCATCTAAGCACCCCCACTAGTCACTCAGCTGCACGCTCACGGCCTGGCTGGGTCTGCTGGGGCAGGAGCCTTGCGTGAGGCAGAGCAGGTGCCACTCCCTTCTCACGCACCGTCCTTCCTCTGCCAGGACACACGTGCCCGGCACTCAGCCCGAGACGGGGGCTCTTCCCGGCCCGGCCCGACTTCGGCCCGACCGCCCAGTGCCACCTTACAAAGGCATTGCGCAGGCTGCTGCCGCTCTATGGCCGAGGGCTCGGCAGGCGGCTCGAAGCCTACTGCGGGTCCTAGCCCTGGCGGGGTTTGCTGGTGTCAAACAAGGTGCCCGGACACGAACGAAGGGACCCTGACTCCCTTTACTGCGGAGAAGAGAACCGCGGGGCGTGCCACCGCCACCGGTCCGCAGCGTGGTGCGACCTGGCCAGGGTCTTGGCTACTTCCTGAAACCTTGGGCAAGTGAAAGAATCTTTCTGAGCCTCAGTTTCTTAATTTAAATAATGGGAAAAGAATTACGTCTCAAGGGAACACTGCGACATTAAATGTGGCTCTGTACAGAAAGTCTTCAATACGTGATGCTCCCGTCAGCAGCCACACACGCCTCAGACTAGGCAGGCACTCAGCGCCCCGGGCCGCAGCTTCTCACCTACGAGGTGGATTGTGGAGGAGAGACCAGGCACGTGGCAGCTGCTCATGCATCATCACAGCCGTCACTATCACTGCTACAAGCTGGAGGCGCAGCAAAGCAAGGAGAAGCCCCCCACAGACACCGAAAGAAAACACGACGAAGAGCAGACGACCCCAGAACTGCCCGGAAGGGAGTCCTAACCTCGTCCCCGTCTGGACTTCTCCAAGCAAATCCTAAACCTGATGGCGTGTGAGACCGAAGACTGGTCACTGGAGGCGAACGTGCCCAGGGCGAGGGAGGGTGCGGGCGCGGGATGGCCTGCACTGGTTAATAAATCGTCAATGGAGGGCAATGGGCAGCAGCCACCGTGGAGCAAATCACACTGTCCCGGCCCAGCCACTCCCCTTCTAGAAAGGCATCCCGCAGTTACCTGCGTACACACTACAGCATTTGTGGCGTCAGACGCCTGGCAGCAGGGGAATGATTCGACCAACTGTGCTGCTCCCGTGCTGGAGTGCCAAAGGGCTGGAGCAGGGAGGGAGGGAAAGGCGCTGTGTGTACTGATCTCGAAACATCCCCAAAAGATGAGTAGAGAGAAACGGTGCCCGACGGGGCGCGTGCACTGCGCATCGCCTCGAATTCTGACTATAAAACACCTGTTAAACAAACAGAACCTGCTCATCTCTATTTCTCACACTGTTGCTATGCCAACGGGGAGGCAGAGGTCTGCAGAGATGGCAGAATGTGGCAAAGGAGGCTCTCTTCGGGGTTTTCGGTCTTTGAAGCATCTCTCCAGCTTAAAGCCAGTACTGAGAGCAGGCGTCTCCCAGCCTGGGCGGAGTGTAACACGTGCCGAGACTGACCTGACAAAGTCCGCGGGGAGCAGCTCGGGGTTAACGCCCAGGGAGTCCAGCACGTCGTTTCGGATCTGGAGCAACAGCTCAGAATCTTCCCCAAAGGCGTCGGAGCTCGGGTCCCTGCCTTTGTCCGTGCGGAACTTCAGGAGCACTGTAGGAGGAAGAAGAGAGGCTGAACGCAGGCTTAGAGATGTTACCCGACGTGTTTTTCATTTTCTAGGAGGTATATGTTAATTAAACTATGGGCCAAGGGAAAGGTAATATGCTTTTCATTTATTCAACAAGTATGGTCGGAAAGGAAATCAAATAATGACAGAAACGACTAAAATGACCGTGACATGTGCCATGACAGTGTAACAGAGGACCTGACATCTGTAGGGTGGTGTCAGGTACAGCTCCGCTGAGGAAGCGACGACCGTGTGTGTGTGTGTGTGTGTGTGTGTGTGTGTGGCCCGGCGATGGCCCAGAGGAGAGGTCAGGGGCAGGAGGCACGCATGCTGGCACCAGTTCAAAGGCTGCCGCAGCCAGAAAGGCCCGCCAAACGCTCGGGCTCATCAGACAGCAAGTCATTACAAACACAACCTCCCTTAGTGCAACGATTATGTCAACCTCCAGAAATGGTTTAATTTTGATTATGAACCAGAGAAAGGTTGAAATGATGGCAGCAAATCAGAGCTACTGTGTCGTGAGATCCTAACAAGGCTTGAATTTTCAGCCCAAACAAAAAGACACAGGCGAGAACATGATCGGGCTGATCGAAATACAAACACCTCTTACTGCCACTACGCCCCGTCCACGATGCTCACTGCGCACTGAGCAGGTGACATTCTTGCTCCCCAAGGCGGGCAGACAGCTGGTCTCCAGGGTTATACTCCTCCCCCATCACACAGAGCAGAGGTACAGACACGTGGATCCCTAGGCGCTCTGGGTCAGCACGTCATACCTGGAGGGGGCTTTACAGTTTACAAAGTGCTTCCATTTAAGTCTCATCTGTATTTGCTGACTGAAAAAGTGAACTTATTCGTAAAGTTCTATTCTCTATCAGTACAAGGGCTCTTCCATAAAAATTAATTTCAGGTGGTTTGAAAACAGGAAACTGACATGAGGCTCTTTAAAAATGCAAGCATTTGGAACCCACCCCAGAAGAAGGAATGAACCCTTCTTTCTACCTGTTTTAAGACGCACAAATAGTTCCGGTGATGAGCAGCCTAGGCTGAGAAGCACTCTCCAAGAAGCAGTACAAATTCATTCATTCATTTGACCCGCAACAGCGAGCCCGGTGTGCCTGTTGGACGGAGGCGCGAACAGCACGAGGGCAGGCGAGTGACTCTTGGTCTCTGCACGTGTGAAGGCGTTGGGGGGAGGACGAGGGGCTTAGGGGCCACGACAGGCAGCTCCACCGAAGCCTGAGGGAAGTCTATGAGTGGGTTATAACGTGTTCGGAGAGGACCCCAACTGAAGAGGCCCAGGTAAGAGACACGGCCCGCTTCTGGGCTCCGCTCTGCTCAGTGCCCAGCATGGGGCTCTGCATGGCGGAGGCTTAAGGGCGGGGGGCGCGCATGCTGCAGAACACCTGTTTGCTGTCTGGGAGCGTGGCTCTGTTTTTCAAGACAGCTCCTAGAATCCTCAATTCTACCTGGCCGCTTGGCAGCCAACTCAAGGGCAAAGCCCATTCGGACGCTGGCTCAACTGATCTGCCTGCACTTCAGCTGAACTTCGAGCCCTGCAGACGTGCTGCTGGGATCCAGACTCAGAGAAAACAAACGTGACCAAGTAAGCAGCGGAGGGCAGGTGGGAAAGACGGCAGAAGAGGCGCTTAGTCCCTGGTTCAGACCGAGGAATCTAAAAATCTGCTAGTCCAGCCAAAGTGGAGGGCACTCCGAGCAGACTGTACGAAGTCAGCCCTATTCCTGTCAATCACTCCCGAGAAGACACGACCACAAATAGAGAAAGTATCGGTGCTGTCTGAGCAGATGAAGGAGGCAGCGCCAAGTGCACGGTCCAAGGCCAGGGGAAGCCACGCGCAGTCTGATGGCGGAGTCTGCTCGTCAGGGTGGCGAGCAGGAGCAGGGGTCCCACAAGTGCCTCCCTGTGCAGTGCTCTCGTTTCTGTATCTCTGGGCCAGAAGCTGTAACTATCACAGGGACAGAAAAGAGAGGACAATTTTTCAGCCCTCACCACAAAGCTTTTCACCTTTTGGCTAGGCAATAGAAGCTCTTGGAGAAAAACTCAAACCATCAGGACAACAGCAGAAGCAACAGCGCCCACTCCGTGCCAGGCATCACCGTCAACTGCAAATATGTGAACACTCACGCAGACGAACTGGTGAGGGAGGCAGGTCCTCTCTCTCTCTACGGATGAAGAAACCAGTTCAGAGAGAGTAAGCGGCTTGTTCAATGTAACTGCCACTAAGTACTGGAGCAGAAGTGCCAACTCTGGCATTCGAACCCTGGGCTTCTTAACCCTGACCGAATCCAGGACATTAGGAGCACAGCCCGAAGATTCCAAGAGGTCTGGCTCTCTGCCCCCCACCTCGGGAGGACCCCCACTTGACCACATGTTTGTGCATTTTCCAGAAGGGCCCCGCCCTCTCTTAAACGGTCCATCAATTTTAAATTACTAGTTCAGTGGGTGAGATGTGGAGGCACAGGCCACATGAACCCTGCCCATCAATCTTCAGAGTGAGACCAGTTTCATCTCAGAAAGAAATCAGATGGCACTAAGTGGGGGAGCGAAGGGGCCAGCAGCTGGCCCCGCTGCTTCTCTGGGCCCCTCGCCTGTCTCTGGTGCAGGCCGCCTGGACGAGGGCCGGCAGGCTGGCACCGTCCAGATACCTCACTGACCACATCTGAGGTCCTCTCAGGGCCTCTGGGAAGGCGGCCAGTCAGTCCCGGCCACTTATTTGCAGCAAAGCAAACAGAAGCTGTGTTTTTCACTTTTTCGAATGTCAGCACTCCAGTTAGCAGGGGCAGAGGGGGGTGGAAAAAACTCACGTCCTAGACAGGCAGCAGCCCCAGGAGCGACCCCAGTCCCTGCCGAGTTCTTGCTTATTAAACTCCCCTCTTTGTTCTCCTCGCTGACCCTCCCAGACAGCCAGACACACACACATCGCTGTTGACTCTGCATTTCTGGAGAGCACCTCCCCACCGTTTCCAGATTGTAAAACTAGCCCATTAAGATCAAATACCGTCAGGGACGGCGAGCTGCTCTGCCAAAAGATGACTCATCGAATCGTATCAAAACACGGCACAAAACCAGAGTCCCAAACTTGATTGACTTCATCTGAACCTTTTAATTAACTCAGGCTGCTGCAGTCCAGGGATGACAGGCTGGTGTCTCTTCTGAAGTTCAGGGCTTGCCCATGTAACGGAAAAGGCAAACTTTGAAAAGGAGAAACTAAGAATCTTCTCACGTATTAGAAAACTGCGTACTAATATACTGTGAACATACTACTTTTGCAAAAATGACACTCAAATTCAAATTTAATCTGAAACAGTATCAGATTAGTGTTATAATAGGAATGTGGAAAGCAACATTATTAATCACTGTATTTCTTTCTCTAAATTTCTTATTGCATTTAAATAGCGGAATTGTATTTAGCATAATCGCTAAGGCCACAAAAAAAAAACAACAGTATTTTTTATAGAAAAAAATGAAATCGATGTTGCAAATTAGCCTCAACCCAATCACTACCTCCAAAAATAGCTCAATTAAGGGGAAAAAAGCCAAATCTATATAAAAACCTCAGTTGCCTGACTGATGCCTAAAGCCTTCTGTTCCGGACAACCTTGCCCCAGTCTCTCTAGGGCTCCCCATCCACCCGGGATACCCCATCTTCCCAAGCTGGTGCATGCAGTGGAGACACACGACCTCCAGAAATGGCCAGGGAGTCTGCGGCCATGTCCCCCTGAACGTGCCCGATCTCATCTGGTCTCGGAAGCTAAGCAGGGTCGGGCCTGGTTAGTACTTGGATGGGAGACCACTTAGGAAGACCAGGTGCTGTAGGTGTTTAAAAAAAAAAAGAAAGAAAGAAATGGCCATAGAATCGGCTCCACTCCTAGTGACATAAACTTCCAAGAAAACGAGAAGTACAGTCATCCCCTTAGCCAACGGCCTGTCCTCCAAGGCAAAAACACCAGGTCTGACATTTAGTCAGTTGTTCACTCGATACACACGTCCTGAGTAGCGACTTTGAGCCAGGCACTGGGCTGGGCAGGGGGGAGCGAAGTGCACGCTTGGCCCCCTCGGAGCGTTTAGCGAGGACGAAAGGTGGCAAGCAGAGAAGGAGCACTCAGAGAGCATCGTGGGGCGGGACTGGTGGTCTCCCCGAGGAGCCGGGTGCCCCTGCACCAGCTGGAGCCGCCCTCTCTTCACGGGTCCCCAGGCCCGGTCACAGGCCCGCTGGCCTCACACCTCCATCCGCTCCCAGGCTGCTCTTTAGGGCCCACGGCTCCGTAGAGAGCGGTGGGGAGCACAGCTGTGGGGCCAGAATGCCTGGGCCGCACCCCCAAGCTTTCCACTTCCTGTGACCCTGGGCAAGTGACGATGTCCCCAAGCTTTCTCCCTAAAATGGGAATTGTAAGCGCACTTACCTCACGGGCTTTGAGGAGTAAGTGAACTAGCAGATGTAAAGCACCCAGGACAGTGCCAAGTCCAGTGCGGGAATGGGACGGACGACGAGCTCCAGAACCGCGGCCCTTCCTCTGCCACCTCCAGACACCCCGCTGGCACGCCCCCTGGAGCTGACGGACCTGGTCACGCGGAGGTCCCTCCGTTAACTGTGTCACCTCCACTAGTTCAGCCGTGGGCTCTGGACGACACTCTCTAAGCCCCGCTCTCTCCCTTCGCGGCTCTCAGTCACAGTTTGCGATGCCGAGGTCATCTGCGTAAATTCACTCGTACAAGGACTGACTTGTCTCCTCCGCTGTTTGTGCTCAGTGGGGTAGAGGCCATATCTGTTTTGTTCACTGCTACCCATTTAACGCCTCGCATGGCCCGCCCTCTGGCAGGCACTGAGAAAGCATCTGCGCCACGGGAAGCCCCAGTGTCTGGGGAAGGAAGGCAAAGAGTCACCCATGAGGGGAGCAGGCTCACGACAAAGTGACATAAGGGCCTCACAGATGCTAACCAGGCCTGCTCTTTCACTAATTG